TCTAAGCCAGTATTCTTAAGATTATATGTAGCCATATAAGGCAAAAATTTAATATCTAATAAAGATATGAGGCAAGACCTCACCTTAACACCGAAAAAAAAAAACAAAATAAACTTTTAAAAGTATAGATACTATATTATATAAGATAAAACACTCTATTATATATATCAACTATTTCAAACAAAATTAGCTATAAATATAGCTATAACTACAAATATACCCTCATAGTATACAACTATACTTGTTTTTTAAAAAACTTGGTTATCTAATCAAAAATCTAACAAACACTAATATATATCCAGATATCTCTTTGCTTAACTTACAAATTTAGAATAGTAATTTACAATCTTAATAAATCTTTAAACTCTTTCAAGTTAAGATCTTGTTCAAATTTTAGAATAGATAAATCATACTCAAGATATATTGTACTAATTGTACTAGTTATGTCATACTAAAAACTCTCTTCTTCTCTATTAACAAATTTAACAAACTTCTGAAAAGAGATGTGAGACTCTTGTTAGCAAGCCTACATATACTATTAATAGAATTCTTAATTGCTATATTAAGCTTCAATACATTTCTCAAATATTAAATTACTAGATTAATTAATTACTGAACCAACTTTTATTAAACAAAATATCCAAAACCATTTATGACTAGCCTGCTTATAAATCTATTAATTAGACACTTTTTAATAGCTTTTGGCAACAAGAATATTCATCACAAACCAATATTAATCTTGACTAGTACAACTCTCTTACTTTACCAATTACAATAGATAAAATAACTTTAATTATCTTTAAGCTTCCAAATTGCAAAGCTTGTAAATCTACTAGTATTAGTTATAAAATAATTAAGTACTCTAGTCTAATATATTTACAAGCTCTCATTGTTTTTTTTAATCGTTGTCTTACTCAGGTCAAATTCCAAAACAATAGAAATATAGCAGAATATTTTCTATATCCAAATGTAATACTTTTGATGACAACCTCAATCTCACTCAACTAATCAGTTTCATAAAATATATTCACAAAATTTATACTAAAATTATTACTAATTAACTTAGCACTATATTTTAACAATACCCTATTTTATTATATTTTAACTATGTTGTTTTATCTGAAAATTTAACTGTGACTTCTATTCATATTCTTAATAATTTAATTAAGGATACTATATACAACTACAAAGATATATAGCTTTTGTTTTAAGATATAAGCAAGACTTATAATTCTAACAATCTTTCTTTACTTCAATACTTACTTGCTTTACTTGCTCTATCAACCCAAACTATAATCTTTCTCTACTTCAATACTCACTTACTCTACTTGCTCTGTCAACTTTTATTATCTAAACTATAATCAATATTTTTACTGATTATCACAATTAAGTTATAATTAATTTTGAACTAACTTTTTCATATTCTGTTCAAAATAGTATTGATTAAGGTAAAACTATTATTCCACTTCTTTGAAGAATATATTGTCTATTTATAATATATATATACTTATAGTTCTCTAAATATACTATACAAATATCTTGAATCTCTAGTCTTAAGAATAGATCATTTAATAAACTTCAAGCTAGTTGCTTAGTACTAGTTTATATAGATAATACTCTCTGACTAGTCTCTTTACAAAATAAACTATTACAAATCCTTTCTATTGCTTAATTATTTTGCAATATAGCTAATATACAAGTCAATCCTGCTAAATCTATTCTTTGCACTAATAACTCTTCCTTCCAGTATATTTCTATTATCTTTATATTTATCTCATACTTCTTTTAAATTTTTTGAATATTAGTTTATACTTGATAACAAATTTTAAAACAAACACAACTTATCATTGAAGAATTACTATATCTTATTCAAATTGCAGATACTAAGCATATTACTAATACATATTCTTAATATATTATTAATATTGTCATTATATTAGCTATTGAATACTAACTTCACAATCTTGTATTTAGCTAATATACCTGTAAACAAATACTTTTACATTATATTAAACTTGTTAACACAAGGCTAAGCTAAACTATTTAATTCTTACAAGTACTCTCCTTTACTCACAACTTTATAATATTCATAATATCTGAGATATTTAATTTCAACACCATATTACCAACTATATTAAGCAAATTAACAACTCTGATCTTTTAGATAAAAAAAAAAAGTATATGTAACTATTAATAAAATAATAGAGTATAAAGAAGTTATAAAAGTAAGTCAATTATTGTAGTAATCATAAAGTTGTAAGATAAATATAGTATAAATAGAGTATTGAAGTTATAATTTTGTATAAAGGTAAAGTAATATGAAATATAGTAGATAAAATAAGATTGTAATCAATAATAGCAAAAAAAATAAGTTATTAAAAGTTTATATAGATAATAGCAAGTTGAGAAAAAATAAGTATTTAAGTAGATATAATAGATGAAGAGTTTGTGTTGGTTGGATGAAAAAAACTTTTAAAAGCAGTATCTAGAATTTTCTATTGAGGAAAAAAGAGATTGGTAAAAACTTTAGAAGTTTAAAGTTTTTTAAAGATATATTATAATGCTTGTAAAAGATAGAATTAGTGATATTTGTATTTAATTTGAGAAATTGGCAAATTAGAAAATTGTATAATATCAAAATAGAATATAATTTTAGCAAAAGTATATGGGTCAGTTGTTTTAATAGTGTTTTGAAGAGCATTTTTGTTGTGTACTAATTCTACTTTACTAACTTCAAGTCAGATTTCACTAAAAGATTGTTTGCTTTGCTTGAGATTTACTTGACTAGTATATTATACCAGATCTTTTATCTTATTAGACACATATATAAATATTTGGCTACTTGTTTACTTAGAACTATTTTTTAACTATACTAAAAACTACCTTTTTACTTTATTAGATATGTCTCTATTTATAATACAAGATTATCATCAGATAAGTAATTATCTAGTTATACATATTAGACTATTACTTAATTTTATGCATCCACTAATTTGATAACTATACAATTCATGTAACAGATTATATTATACAAACTTGATCCTATTCTCAGTACTATGAATTTTAAGGGTACCAACTAACTTATATCATTAGTTAGACTCTCATAACTTCATCTCCAAAGTTATCCTTTCTAGCAATATCATTACAAGACATTTTCTTAGTAGGCTTGATTGTTAGCAATATCTTGTCATTCAACACAGATAGGTAGCCAATTTCTTTGCACTTTATTTAAGTAGCATTATCACTCTTACTTTGGCTAACTAATGACTCTTCATACCTATCTATTTTGTATACACTTATTATACTATTTTCAGATTTTATGCTATTGCTATCAGGCCCAGTTTTTATCAATGACCCTGGCAATCTTTTTATTATTGCATTTATTTTCATAACTATATCCAATGGTGCTTGTATCATTACCATTGCTCCATCTTGGTTATAATGTCTAGAGACAGATATTTTATTAGTATTATCTATATTAGTGTATTTTTAATAATTTATGAATGTTTTATATTTATTTTTTCGACAGCAATTCCTTTTCACACAACATCTAATAGTATATGTTCCACTATTATTATATTTATCAACAGGTTTTTGATGATAGTCAAATGCCTTATATTTGTTCTTATCAATTTCAATTTCAATTCCATATTGATAACACAGTTTAAAATTGTCTTGTGCTTTTAAACCACTTTTAGCAAGTGTTTGATAACAGACACATGCCTTGTTTTCATTCTTTTTAACTCCATTTTCTTTTTATAACAATGTTCAAGATTATTTGGTTCATTAGTTTTAGGTTTGTCTTCCAAATTTACATTCTTTATACCTAATCTCCTTTTATTTAATTTATTAAGACTCCAATTTTTTCTTCTCTCCTCAACATTACTATTTTCTATTAATTTACTTTTTAGTATCTAAAATCTACAAATTTTATTTTCTCTTTATTATCATCTACAACTTCTTTTCAATTGCAGGTTCTTTTGAAATCATAAACATTGTTTCATCATTACCAAATTGGATTATATAATAATATTTTCTATCTCTTTATTCAAAACTAAATCTTGTTTTGTATCCTATAGTATTTCAAGAACAATATTACTACACAATTTATATTTCATATAGAACTTTTGAACTACTTTAATACTATCAACATTAACTTTAACACCAGAAATAATTCTGACAGCTTTATCACCTACCTGACTAATGGTTGATCACTTATTCAAATATCTCTAAGTAAGCCCTTTTTTTACATAATTTATGCTTATTGGATTCATGCATGAACTTGTTCTAATTGATGCTTTTGCCAATTTTCTATTTATCTTCACCAACTTTTCTATTGTAATACTATTATCAACTTTTCATCTCATCTCCTCTTCTCTGTTATATTTCAAATTTCTATAGTCCTTATCACTAAATTTTACGTTATATACTTCTATACACTTAGTATTTAAGCAAAAGTCCCAAACTTGATTTTCTAAATGATACGAATAAGCTAAATGCCCTTTATGATGACACAATATAATACAAATGTGATTTATATCTTTTCTGTTTCTCTTGACTAGTCTTCAAGCTTTTATTACTTCTTGAACCACCATATCAACTATATTTCTTACCAATATCATTTGGTAATTCTCATCTTTTATTTCTTTTCAACTTTAATTTTGTCAAACAATACTAATTTGCTATTAAGCCACTTCAAAGTCACTGATCACAGCCAGTAAAACCTTGCACTTAATATAATTTTAATAGCTTTTAACATATTATTCCTTAAACTATAGGCTTTTCAGACAAATTTGCTTGAAAAATTATCATAAATATAGTTATGATCTACTTTTTTTAACTTTTAATATATTAAGGTGATAATATTTAAAAATAAAGATTATATTATAGCAGTATTTAATTTTATATTATAAGAAAAAAGTCTTAGTTATTTATAAATAAAAATAGACCAATTTAGAAAAAATTTTTTAATAAAAAAATTTATTAACTTATTCTTAGCGAACTCTTTAAATATTAATTTTAAAGATATAGTTCTTAATATAATATTTTAGTTTATATAAAGGATGATATTTTTCAT